AAAGTGTGTGTGTGTGTGTGTGTGTGTGTGTGTGTGTGTGTCTGTGTGTGTGTGTGTGTGTGTGTGTGTGTGTGAGAGATGGGGGAGGGGGAGGGGGGTCAAATTGTAAACATCACACCACAGTTGCTGCTGCAGCAAACCATCCATGCAATGATTAAGAGCCTAAGAGGGTGAGAGGGTGGGTGGTGATCGGTGGAGACGTGGCTTTTTTATTGAAAGGAAAGGAACACCAGCTTTCACAATAAAAGCCCCAAACAGAGCATCACAACAGACTGGTGATGGTGGTTAGCAGTGGGAGGGTTTACCCACATAAGCTTGTCATAGACTTCCGTTTTGGATTGTTAGATTTATTGGTGCAATTAATAATGCAGGCTGTAAATACGGTTTGACAGTAGTCTGATGTCATCACCAGACAGGGTGCAGCAGCAGCAGGCTTTTTCTAAAGGTTGAGAATAGCTGGACTTGAGGCCACGTTGCTAAGCAAAAACAAATGTGGCAAACATCCAGGTTCGTTCTTTATTTGCACGGAATAATATTTAAGGTTATAGCCACAGATTCAAATAGCTGTTTCCACTATGACTCTGATAAATGAAAAGGCTAAGTGCTTGCACTTTAATAATTCAGAACGAGCGACACTGCTCATTACAGCAAAAATGTTCCTTATTTATTGCCCTCAGGGTGTGTTTGTGATTTACAATATTCCTGTTGGTAATGCAAATGGTCCCGTGAAGAGACCTGGACCTGAATAAGCAACATAGGCTGCTCATAGAAGCCGTGCAATAGAAACAGCGCAGTCACTGTGTTGTCAGCACTGAGTGGAAAACGATCCCTTTGTAGTTACGTCATCTTTCAATCCAATCAAAGCCATTAGTCAGGTGTGTGTGTGTGTGTGTGTCTGTGTGTCTGTGTCTGTGTGTGTGTGTGTGTGTGTGTGTGTGTCTGTGTCCCCCACCCGCAGACAGCCACACCTCACACCTTCTGCTCACTGCAGCCTTGACGTGTTTCAATGCCAACACCAACCAAGACGAAAGATGGAAGAAACCGATATCCCTGAACCAGACTGAACACGTTCCCCCATCACTGTTGCTATGGCAACTGACATGGAAGTGCACCACGAAAACAATACCTGCTGGTGTTCAACATGGCAGCAGTGACAAAGGTGCACTGCTCCCCCTAGTGGTGGAGAAAGAAGTACACATGACCTGCTTTTTTAGCATTTCCAGAACCTTCTTGCAGTCCCGAGTAAACAAAACCAGGAAAGTCTCTGTTATTTAGTGTTTGATAATATAACTCATGATATTGTGCCGCTAACTCATTCGTCACATTCTGCTGGACCAGGGTGCATTAGTAGCTGAGTTTCAGGAAACCAAAGCCAAACAACACTCATTAAGATGTTATTTCGTCAGCTCTTTATCTGGTGAAATTCAAGAGGAAGCCTTCAAAGCTCCTCAGTAGGAGGGCGCCCCAGTTTTGACTTCATAGGATTATGTAAACACAATGTTTACAAGGACAGAGCACCGCCAATAGAAGTCAGAATACCCACGTCAACCCCAAATGTGCAGCTTAGACAGCATTAACTCCTGCTGACTGCGACTGACGTCTCTGACTTATCTAATCACAGAGAGATGGAAGGAGCCAGATGCTGTCACGGTGTAGAACGAAGGTTGTTTTTCCTCAACATCTGCAATTCCATAATTTGAGAGCGTTATGTTGACACATTTATACAGTGTGGCTTTTGAGTTTCAGTCATCATGAATGGTCATAAATGTGAATCAATGCATCCTCATTTTGCTTTTTTTCCTTCTCAAATGTACCACCAGGGGGAAGTAGACCTCAGGAAAGTACAACCCCCCCAACACACACACACACACACACACAGCAGTGGAACATCCCATCTCTCTCAGCAATCCTGTTTACTTTTCCAGCCTCGTCAACAAAATAGTGCCAACGCACACCGTGCAGGTAGCGTCCGCAAGGTAAACGAACACAAGTACTGCGTTAGTGACTTGATTAAAAATACGCTGTTAATCATTTTCCGTCTTGCAGTTCGTCAGTTCGTACCGCTAGCTATGATGAGGGAGGTTTTAGACACAAATGCACATGCGATAGCTGTTTAATTCGGGCATGAAGACATCGGAACGCTACCTGTTCCACAGCACTATTTCTGGAAAGGCAATACCCAGGATAGCAGCTTTTAAGCCACGTTGAACCTCTGCAACAATGAAAAGATTACAGACATGTTTTGTGAAATTCTATTCCTTGCATCCTTTAGGAAATACCTCATTCTGTGCAAAAGAGAAAATCGAGATTTCTAAGACTGACCTTTTTGTTTATCAAAGCCCTGCAGGACGATTGAGGCGGCAGGCTTTCCGAGGTCCCCTTTGCCCTCATTGGTGTGCTTGTGCATGTCGTCCTGGTGGGGCCTCTCCGATCGCATCTCTGGGGGCACAGCAGCAGTCGGTGGCTTGGGCTTGCTGGGGCGATCCTCCTCTGTTTTCACCGGGGTCTTGACCTTCTCTGTGATCGGGGGCTTGGCTGGCGCCGCCTCAACCGCACTTCGGGGAGGGACGACACTGGGAACCAGTGGAGAGGGGGGGCTGCTTCCCTGTTTGGGGCCACTGATGCCCTGCCCTCTCTTTGGGCTCTCTTCAGACGCAGACTCAATGAAGAGATCACTGTCGAGCTCTGCCTCTCTCTCCTCTCTCAGAATGCTGTAGGCTGTGGGTGGAGCGTGGTTGCCTGCGAGGCCCAAACCACCCTTGGCGACCGGGGGATTGTCAAAGGGGTTGTTGGGCTGGCTGAAAGTGCCCTTGCTCTTAGGCGGCTGGACAAATGGGTTGCTAGCGGCCTTTGGAGGCTCCTCAGACACCAGCTCGATCTCTGAGTCTCCAGACTCGGCGCTGCTTCCATCTTGCTCCCTGCCGCCTGCCTTTGAACTTGGACTGCTTTTGGAAGCTGCAGGCTTCCCTGCGTCAGCCTTGAACTTGTCGTGGGAAGAGAATTCTTTTTCTGTTCACAAAGAAATGCAGAGAGGGCATTCAGGGCTTCACTCACATTACAAATTCAGACATAGAGTATCTGCACATACAACTTAAAGCCAGTCTATGTAACTTGAAAGAAGAAATAAGTCTTCCTCTGACAAATCAAATTCAACTTTGTTGTTGCAACCTTACTTGCAGTCAGCATCATCTGCATGAAATATAGCTGCCGTGATGTAGTTTCTTGACTTGTCAAGTATTTAATTCACATGATGGGATAAAATCATGCATTCCCATCTGGTTATTGTATCCATAAATAGTTTCTTAATTGTTTTTCCAGACAATGTACAATACTAAAATATACTGATATTGCAATATGAAGTTCTGTATATCATGATGGGGGATTTTATCTACATCCCCAACTTCTACATCTGACTACGTGTGACAGGTATGTGTGTGTGTGTGTGCTGAGCCTACGTGTTGGTGAAGCATTGGGAGTGGAGGCGGGGCTGTCATCCTCTGGCTCCGATAGCGTCACAGTGGGAACCCCCTGCAAGCCCACACTGAGGACGTTTTCACGCTCGGACACACTGACTGGAGGCGCGTGTTGCTGCGGCTCAGTCTTGGCAGTTTGAGGATGGGACTCGGTCAAAGTGATCTTCACCGGGCTGGCCGTCTGCGGGGTGCCACCCAGGTTTCGGTAGGAGCGGTAATCTGACAGCTCTTCATCAGATGGCTCCTCCACATAGGGGAAAGAGTGGGAGCCCAGAGCTGAACCTAGGTTTTCCTCCTCCTCCTCTTCCTCATCTCCTCCGTGGTTTTTATCCATGTAGCTGCCCAACGTGTCCACCAAGCTGTGCTGGTCATGGCGCTCATCCCCGTGGCTAATGTCCATGTAGTTGTAGGATTCTGTCTTATCTGAGCCAAACAGAGATTTCGGCATCTCATCAGCCAGGTTGGAAGTCATCGTGGTGCTGGAGCTGAAGCTATAGGCGTCGCTGGAGAAGGGATCCAGGGCAGAGGAGCCAGAGGAGGGTTTGGACGGTTTCAGGTCGTCCGACAGGTAGGAGGCTTCTCGACCCGATGTGTAGCTCTGATTTGACATCAGGGAGGTGTAGACATCGCCATCATCATTTATGGGCGTCCTAAACAGGCCAGACATGTGGTCATCTAAAGAGATCGACAGGAAGAGAGAGAACTGAAACTCAGTGAGGTTAGAAGGATGACAGCAGTCTCTGTGTCACACGCTCGAATCAAATCAGCCCGTGCCGGAGCTTTTTGGATGAATGAAAACATACAGTTAAACAAGACTATGCTTCAGCTGGTGCTGCTGCCAGGGGAAAGGGGCTATGGCACTGGGAGGGCAGCATAGTCAGACTGGGTGCTCGGCTGTGAAGACCAGTGAGGCAGCAGTAACAGAGGGTACTTGTACTCAGTGTGGGACAAAGGGGGATTGTTCAGACCCCAAAAAACCCACAGTGACACAACCAGAGTCTGTTCTAAATCATGCAGGCAAAGAGCTTTCTCTCGTCACATCTCTGCTCTGCAATCACTATAATCCTGCATCTCCCCCTGACAAATTAGTGTTATGAAAACAAACGCGCACATAAAATACACCGTATGTGCAAGCTAAAATAAAAAGGCTACAGCTACTACACTAGGTTGACAAAACTCTTCCATGATAAATGTTTAAAATAAATACTTCAAGCACAGCATGCATCTCTGTGGTATTCAACACACATGCAAAATTTAACTAATACTAGTTAAAATGATACAATTGTAGTGCTAATGATCTTCAATTAGGAATGCACAACCGGCACATGTCGGCTGTGAATCTGTGTGCGCTCTGCTGTAAAATATCACTCAACACTTCACTGAATAATTTGTTACAGCGCTGCAGCAACACATTAAGGACGCTCATATTACATGACTTGCAAAACAGGAAGAGACAAACTTGATCGGGATGTTGTTTCAAATGATCAGAAGTCAAGGCCAAGGCAGGTATTCAGTCTTGTTGACTTTAAGTCATTTAAGTCAGGATACTCCCCACTAACAAACACACACTGTGTCATGTTCATACACAAATACAGGAGCATACACACAATATACATACCCTGTACACCACCACTCTGATGCTAATATGTGCTATGTACAAGTCAGAGTTTATACTTCCACATACTGAGCACCTCCTCCTGCTCTCTAGCCCTGCTTCTCCCGGGGCAGCGGTGGTGCTATAAATAGGCTGGGTCCAGCTGCTGGGCTGGATGGGATTTAAAATAGCAGCCTCGGGGTTAGCTCTGGAGGATGCTGAATGACTGACAGAAGACCCAACAGGTCAGGACGACCCGTCCCTCCCTTCGCTTCCTCTAAAAAGCCCCACCACCCTTCCCTTCTGCCGTCCTTCCTAACGCTGCTCCTTCATCGTCATTAACAATACATCGCACCGCAGTACAATGGCACGAACGCCACACACCCATGCTGGGACACATGGGGGGGAGGGCTGACGTGACATGGAGGCAAAGCAAAGCAGGCCCACGCTCTTGAGCTGCAGATTATTTAGCATCTAATAGACTCAAATGTCTTGTAGATCAAGCCATACGCAGTATGGACGGACAAAGCCGCTGAGCCAGCTTCAGTTCAGCGACACGAATGCCCTTGATGTACCGCCGATGTATAATCCTCTTAGTGTACGACCATCGTATAGGTCACGTCAGCCATTACACTGGCAACACCATCCTAATCTTACACTCACTGATAAACTGCACAAAAACCTACTCTGGGAAGCACTCGGGGCCTCTACACACTGTGAAGAGAGGTGATCTCAGGAGCTGTGAACGGCCAGTAATCCTGTTGACTGTAGGCAACACACACACACCCTACATACCAACAGATGAACTCACCAGCCTTTGCATAAGGCATCTGTAACCAAAAAGAAGCTGGTGCTGGGCTTTAACTGCCGTGGTGGCAGCCATGCTGGGCATTTTGAATGTGTTGATACGGCGTAGCACCCAGACACTGGGGGGGGGGGGGAGAACCCTACAAGGCTGAAACAAATGCTTTGCTGCACTCGGATGGGATTGGATGTGACAATAGAGGAATGCTCCGCTCACACTGTAGCCGCACAACGTAATCATGTCACTGAGGGGATGGTGTAGTTAAATAAATAAGTCCCGGTGGATGTGCTGTGAAGGGGCAGCCCTTTTGTTGTCCTCTGTGCAGCCAGTGCAGCCCCGAAACTAATGCAGCCTGACAATCTGTGCTATACGCCAAGGCATGGGCTCCTAATTATCAGGCTGCAGACGAAAACATGCGAGCACAGACGCTGTTAAAAGAGCCAGAGTTGCAAAATGAATATATTACCACTTCTGAAATGAAGGGGTTTACTGAGCTGCATGTGGGACTCTGTGTGCAAGAGGGTTTATTCCCTTGAAGACACTTACTGATCCACTGCAGTTATTCAATAAATAAACTAATGCGATAACACAAAGGGATTTTAAAATCGATGACAAATGTTGTCTTTGCAAGTCTCCAGAACATCGTGTTGTCTCACTTCTAGCAGCCAGGAGTCTTTCAAAGGAACTATCGAAGTAAACACCGCTGTTAATATCATCAGAAGTCCAGCTTTACTTTTAATCGACTGCAGTGTAATGATTGCATAACTCTGTCCGCGACCCCCTTTGACTGCGGTGTTACCTTTCAGGAGCTCTATTTCACTGCATGACCTTGTGGAAAGTAATCCATCAAGACGCTCACTTACTGGGCTCCTGTTTCAAAGCCATCTGTGCCTTTTTGAGATGAAATAATATGCTGCAGCTATATCATTTTAGGTACTCATTGTCCCGTGTGCTGGGAACTGCACTATACGTTCTTCCTAAAGATAAAAACAGAAATTGTTTGAAGACTGAATAAGCTGTGCACATTTTATGAAACATTGAAATTAGCCAGTGAAAGACTAAAAAAACAATGTATGTTAACAAAGAAATGTTTACATAAATATGTTATTTGAAAGTACACAGAAGTACATATGTTTTATAGAGAGGGATAAACCAAGGCTCACTGTGACTGTTAATGGTCTCTGGCTTTATGTATTGATTACAAAATCCTTGGCTGAACAAATAGATGAATACTAGTCACTAACTATCCACTTTAAAGAAGAAGATAATGGAGAGCACAAAGGCAGTCTAAACTAAGAGCTGAGGTTCAACACGACTACGAGCAGACGTCGATAGGAGAGCAGTTGTGCTGAGGGATACAACTGCCCTGAGCTGCATTGATCCGAGACAACGAGGACCCACAATTATTGTGAGAAACGTCAGCGTCTCCACCGTTCTCAGAAAAATCACTAAAGGCCACACAGGACGAATGTTGTTGTTCCAGCAGCCCTCGTCAAAGATAAATCAATGCAGAGGCAGTTAAAATAAAAGCTAATCTGTCCCTGTTCAGAGTCTTAAGTCATGGTACCTGTCTTCCACTGTATTGATCCTATTTTTCTTGCTTCGATAGAGCTTTATGGATCAATGGAGAGGATGTGGGAGGAGCTGTCAATTCACTGTGACTTTGGATTGGCGGTTCACTTTTCATTGTACAGAATTTGGCATTAAAGCGTACAGACGCGTAGACCACAATAACCAACACCAAAATAAGATGGACTATTATTGTTTAAAGGTCTCTCTGCTGGTATAGTAGCTCTGATCCCACGAGCGGTTTTGTAATACTCTGCTCGGGGATTACTTTGTGCCCACAGGCTGGAGAGCTGGACCGAGGCAGTCACATTGTAAACATACCATCATATTTCTGGCTTTCCATTGTTTTCAGTGTAAACACAGGGGATGAAAACACATGATGGATGATGATTTATTGATATTATGATAGCAATAATGCTTTGTTTTTGTCCCCTGTAGTGGGGCTTTTTGAGTCCGTCATGCTTTCATAACTAGGCATTAGCTAATTGTTCCTGGAGACAGATGAAGATGAATGAGATTAGAATCCTGGGATGAGCACTCTAAATCATCCAAAGCAGACAGACGAGTGTAGTGTGCACCCTTTAAACCTTATTGTATTATGTAAGGTGCTGGACAACACATTTTCAAACACAATAGCTGACACTGACGCAGTAAGTAAGTGCTTTTGTCAGAGTCAGACACTGAATTAAAGGGATCCGTGGCCGTAAAGACAGTTCTTTGTATTTCCTGTTTTTTCCCTGACAGTCTGGCCGAACTATCGGCCTCCTCATCGCAGCCTTGCCTCTCTTGCCATTAAGCTGCCCCTCCCCCCCCTCCTCCTCATCATCCTCTACCCCTGTATTATCTTTCATTTTTATCATCTCGTCTGAAAATACCTAGCACTGCTCTGCCCCCTGGGAACAGGAGCTAAATGCACAAATGCACTGTGCTGGCTTATGCAGTGCAGTGGAGTCCACTAAGTGCTTTCCCTATTTGACAGCTATGGAAAAGACCCGGCCAGACATATGCTGTCTCATCCTTGTCCCTGGTGATATGCTGAAATGGAGAAGAACTCAAATCTAATCCACCTATCGAGTATTGTGTTGGAGGATGTTTCTCACGGCAAAGGCACTTTGTCAGGATGTGATGAAGTAACTAATATAATCCACTGTAATGAGCTGGTAGGAAGAAAAAGGACGTCACCATGTGTGTGCACAATATGCACTGAGTTGTTTTCTTCTCAGACAGCAGGAGAGGCTAGTAGACACACCATGTGCTTCAGAGAAACTGTGGGATTCTCACAGCAAACTTAGACCTCGTCATGATTCAGCAATATCTTTCCACAACTTTAATCCTCATGTCTTTGGAAACCTTCACAGGATGAAAAGAAAAGCTATACCGTACTGCACCGTCTGTGAACCACGGCTAAGGGTCTGTCCTGTAGTGATTTCTTACAGCTGAAATCAGCATTCTTAGCGTCCTGCGGGTAGATTACTGTTGTGAACAAGATTTAGGACAAGGGACGGATCAATTACCTAGAGAGGCAATTGTAGACATCTTGGAGAGTTATTATTTAACAATTCACTCCGTTCAAAAGGCCCAAACTTCTTTGCTTCCCTCGGTAAAACTAAATATTTTAAGTTTCCAAAAGTTGGAATATTATTTTGTGATTATTCACCAGCACCAGCAGCGAAGGGTAGTTGGTAACAGAGGGGGTTGTTGTGAGTGATGCGTGTCTTTGACGAGGCTCAGAATAGACGATAATATGTCTGGTCAGCAGGAAAAGGTCCAGTCTGCCTTGAGATGTGATGAGATCTGCACTGTTCCTACCAAGAACACAAGTGACAGAGTGGATTATCTCACTGGTATGGACACGGCTCAGCGGGAGTCACAGCAATAAGAGACAGCTTTTCTTTCCATTTCTAGGAATCAAAACATAATCTGTGTGTGTGTGTGTGTGTGTGTGTGTGCGTGCCTACAAGCGTTGGAGCTTGCCTGGCACACTGTTATGAAAGTAGAGTAGAGCATGTGCTTTGTTGTCATTTTCTAAGAAAGCCGGACCAAACATCGACTATTCAGTTCATCCTTTCACGTGTATTTTACATGCAGTCTGCTTAAAAATTATACATTTTGTAAGTTATATACATTTTGCAATAGCTTTTTTTCCAATTGCACCACGTTTATCTTTAGATGTTTAAGTTCTGCTTGCATGCTAAATTCTGCGCCTCAAAAGGGATTAAAGTCTAAATTATGCATCTTGTACTGAACGGAAAAATAACATTTTTCTTTTTCTTGTTTTGGATCATAGCAGCCAGTGGAATGAGAAAGGCCGGAGAGGAGACTAGGCTGCGATTTTTCTTTCTGTTTTTTTTTTTCTTTTTTTTTTTTGAACATCTTCTCATGAATTTTTCAGTGAACTCGTGAAAGAAAGTACACGGCTCTAGTTTTGCTAGCCAAGCGAATAGTGAACCCTGTTCTTTCAGGATTAAAAATAGCAGCAACAGCCGAGCTGTGCTGAGGAGAGAGTGGCGGACTGAGGTCTGCATGATGTTCCCACAGGAACCACTCCAGCATCCAATAATATAACATTAGCAATATCCAGACAGGAAAGTTTAGGCTCCAACAGGACTGATACTATCTTTTGGGATTTAATCATTTTCAGACACGTGCTGAAAATGGCTATGAAAGCTTTAGGGCTCCTCATCTATTTGTCACCCCTCTGCCCCACCATACCATAGTGCAGGTATTCTATGAAGCTATGGATACAGGCCTACCTACATGTGGGAGCTGGTACAACAGGCTACTGTTAAAGCGCGCTGCTTCACATCTGTATGACAACACAACGATACAACAATGGGTCATAACTGATGTTTCATAATGCTAAAGCTCTACCTAAGCCTGCATACATTTAGTTTAGAAGATGTCTTAAACCATCACTGTGGCGACAGCTCATTTACGATCATCTCACAGAAGTTACTGTGTTTTCAAGCCCCGAAGTCTTAACTGAGCGGACAGACAGACAGACAGGTAACGCTGAGTCTGTGTGACAAACGTACTGCGTCTCTCTCTCCCTGTATTTACATCTATGTGGGGTTTGTCCAAAAATTAACCCCGACGTGGCTGAAATACTACGAATTGGTAAATATCGACACTTAACTGCCACGCTTTTACCTGTAGATGCAGTTCCCATAGCAACGTGAGGCCCTTTTTTCCCGTCGTCCTGAAAAGGATGAGATTGTGGATCCAGGTCTGCAGACACCTCGCCGCCTCTCGGCTTACATTCCTCACGGATCTCGGTGAACCGGGCCGGTGTGTTCCCAAACAGGCCGTTCCTCTCGTAGTCATCCCCGAACCACTTCCCCTCCGAGCCGAGCTCCTCACCGGGCTGAGCAGACATGCCTGTTTTATCGGACAGAAGAGATACGCGCTAACGATACACTGCTTCTTCTTCTTCAGCTTCTTCTTCTTCCTCTTCTTCTTCTACAGTATGCCGGGGCGCTGTTTACTGAGCAGTGGCAATGGTTGACAGAGACAAACACACACACACACACACACACACACACACAAACAATTCAGAGCTCTTTGGCTTGCGTCTGTCTACTGAGCCGCTGGGGTTTGATTACACGCCACAAATGAGACGGTGTCGGTCGGTCAGAGGAGCAAGAGGAGAGGAGACGAGGTTGATTGTTTTAGTTCAGTGCTCCAACGGTGACGTCATGGTGTCCGCGAGGCTCAGGGTTGGCACTTTATTTGGGGCAGAGTTTCTCACACACACACACACACACACACACACGAGAGGCGTATAAATGAAGTCGAGTGTGACATTTGACGGAGTGAATGACAGCTGAATTATATGCTGAGAAACCAGGCCACAGTGACTCTAACGTACAGATGAGTCCGTTAAAATGGACGCAGAGGGAGTGTAATAAAGTATAATAAAGAAGGAATGTCCGAGTCAATAATGCGCACTGACATTTTCAAAAAATGGCAAGAGTTTCACGAGTGACGTTGTATAAAAAGTGTGCCTAATAACAAAGCAAGCGTTATATGGTTTTTGTGAGAATGTATCTAGTAGTGTAGCGCCCTCGCGTGGTCGCTCAAAGTATGACCAGGACCGCACACGTTCTTCCAACATGGCTTCTTAGCAACCAGACGCGCCTGCCTGGACACGGACCGACGCAGTTACCAAACATTGCTGAAATTTAGTTTGTTTAGTTCCTTACTAACCTCGGTTGTTTGTTACCATACACCCGATATCTGGCAGCCTAGTCGACATGGCGTTTATTTAGTCTCGCAATAGACCATGAGTGAAATAAAGCAGGATAGATGCATTAGAAGAGTGCATTTAATATTTCTCTAAGCGTTTTCCCAGCTATGGTACATTTCAAGGCAGAAAAGTGATGATGCAGAGTGAGAAACAGAAGCACCGCGGGGACGAGGAGGTGGTCAAGGAACTGGTGAGTAAATGGTATCAAGGTTTAGATCCAGTTTTAATATTTGTAAAGATATAGAATGTTGCAATGCAATGGTTTATAGTTATGTATTTTTGCTTGTATTATTTTCACTGCCATATCATTTTCTTTTTCAAATTATGATTCTCGTAAATATGTTTTCATCAACAGTGCTTGGCCAATGGAGTGTCCTTTGGAAATATTGCACACGTAGGAAGCAAAGTCGGCTCCCTGGAGATCTTCTTCTCTGGTTTCCCCCGCATGGTTGGGCTCTCCTTCTTCCCAAGGCTCTGCCAGTTTACCATTTTGGGCCAGGATATAAAACACATTGAAGGACTTGAGTGCTGCCCCCTGCTTCGGGAGCTCTGGGTAGTCCAGTGTCATCTTACAGTAAGTTTGTTATGCTGGTAAAACAATAATGCAGTGTGTAATGCCTTGAATCAGTGATTCCAACTTATTGTTTTATTGCAGAGTTTTTTTTAAACCTTACACAATGTAATCACATGTCCCCCCCCCCCCCTTGTGGCATTTAATGACAACAAATCTTGCATGCAGTGATCACAACCCACAGTTTACTAAACAATAATGTGTCCCATCATCTTATTTTGCAGGGGTTATCTGGGCTACAGGATTGTCTACAACTAGAGAAACTTTACCTGTATGATAATCAGATCTGTGAAATAACGAATTTAGAATTGCAGATTAACCTCGAAGTCTTGTGGCTCAACAACAACTGCATAACTCAGATAAAGGTTTGAACTCTTGTCTGACTGTCTGTCTGTCTGTTTGCATGTTTATCATACAACATTCTACAATATGTGTTAACCTGTGATTTCTATTGATTTGGCTCATGAAAACGACATATTACACGATCTCTAGCACATCAGTAAATATGACAACATGTTATTTAAAGATATCGTGCTTCTTTTTTGATCAGTTATCTGCTATGCGTGTGTGTGTTTTTCTTCTTCTAAAGGGCTTGAACACGCTTCAAAACCTCAAAGAACTAAACCTTGCGGACAACAATATTGAAAAGATTGGTAGGTTTAACATTCCTCTGTATTTTTGTGTTATGTTTGATTGCAATTCAGTGAGCTGTTTGAAAAAAAAAAAAAAAATACTTTTCAACTTATTTTCAGGGCATAGCCTTGATCCTAATGTCAGCCTTCAGAATCTTAATCTGTCCGGGAACAAGATCAGCTCATTTAAGGTGAGAACAGAAATATGCTATTGACATTTCTTCTGTAAAAAGTGTTCCTACTTATTTGTAACATCTTGTTAAAATCCTTGGACTGATAAGGGCGATTTAAAATTCTTGTGAGATGTCGGGGTCAAGTCACATTTTCAATTATTTCTACAATGCGCTGGCTGTACAAGACCTTCAATAAGGTATTGTGTAGCATCATTTCAATTCATATCATTCAGGATTCAATGATATACATTCATGACTGCATCTATTTAAAACAAATGTAAACAACTACTAGATTTTTGTGATATGACATTTTTCGTGTTCGTCAGCAATACACTTTAGACATATACTGTAGCTGACGGACTCATTCAGGCATTAGTACTTCGTCATTGTCTTGTTCGAGGTCATTTTGACGAGACGGTATTTCGGCTCCAGCTTTGATTTGAATGATTAACATCATATTCCTGCAATCCACCTTTTGTCACAACCCAGCTTGGCTTTAAGGAATGTGATTATTGTCATTCACTGTACTAGGAGCCCAGTATATTGCAACCACTGCTGAATCAAAGTAGTTGCTCCTTTGCCATTACAATGTGACATTTGTTTTTAGCTGATGTAAAGCAAGTACATGCAAATTAGATGCAAAATACATCTGGTTTGTATATATAGTGTCTTTTGTGTTTTTAGGGAACAACCTGAGCCTTAGAGTGAAGAAAAACCTGATTATTGAGCTAGCCTGTGTGTTCTGCTGTTGATATTGGTGTAACAGGAGCTGACCCTGCTTGCCCGCTTACCCCGTCTGAGAGAACTAGCACTGAAGGACCCAACGTCAACCTCAAACCCAGTGTGTCTTTTGTGTAACTACGCCACACACGTTCTTTACCACATCCCAGGCCTCCAGCGACTTGACACCTACGATGTATTGGGCAAGCAAGTCAAGGAAGCAGCTGAGGTATTGAGAAGACCAGCAGGATTTCTGCGTTACACCAACTGAGCTCATCTGGGTCTCTGTTGTGCTTGTCAGAGGATACACATTCTCTTGATTTATGTTGATTGCTAATTATTTGCTTTAATAAGTTCTAATAACATTTCCCTTAAATGTTCCTGAGAGCTTCAGAGATATTAAAAAGAAATCACACACATTTGTTCTGTTTTTGGTTGTTACAACTCATATTTAAATTGGGTCAAATATTTGAATCCAAGACACATTTCTTAATTGAAAATTTCTCTAGGTGTTTTGCATTACATATACTTTTCCCTTTATTTAGTTTGACACATATAATACCTTTGGAAACCTTATTGAGGTACTGAGTAAAATAAAATCTGGTTTAAACAATGGCTGTCTATATAAAACAGTATGTTATACTTGTTTGCATCTGTGCATTTTGTTTACCTTTTTTCCCCCCTTTAGTCCACAGTAATGAAGAAAACAATGTACTACAACATGCGTGTACGTACTGCTCAGAGGAACCTGGCAGAGGTGCGGCTCAGTCTGATGGAGAGGAAGAAAACTATGTTACAGTTACCAGGAGAATGCATCAGAACACTCAATCACACCCTCAAGAGTGTACGTACAATCCTTGAAACATTTTTGAAATTATTCCAACAGCTGTAAAAAGAGAACAGTTATTTAGCTGCGATCTCCAGCCTCAGGTTTCTGTTGTACAAAGTTAAGAAAGCATGTTTTCATCTGGATGCATACCTAGCTTGAAGGTGAGCTCTCCAAGGTGCCAGCTAGTTGTAAGAAGCCTGCCTGCACGTTGGAGGACGGATCGACCCACTCGGTTGAAGGTTCAATCGACAGAAGTGACCAAACCACTGACATCAGTCGCGATCCAGCCGTGGAGCACAAAATACTCAACAAGATTGACGCACTGAGGGAGCGACTGGTGCCATGGATGAGGAGGCTGAATGAGTCTGTATATTTGAATAAGATACAAAGAGAATTTTATTTTGCAATATAGAATTTAGCCTCATACTGTGCATGTTTCTGTTTGATTAAAGAAACTGTCCTAATGTGAAAAAAATAATGCTTCCTCTTCTGTATTCAGGATTGAAGCCTGGTATGAGCGCGGTTTGACACAAGCCACAAACATGATGGAATATACTGTCCAGTTTCTATTGATGGAGCTGGAAAGTGTTGGAAATATTCGTTTGGAAGAGGGCTGCTGCACAGACCTATGGTACGTACTTGGTACAATATTATTAAATACAATTACAAACATTTTCAGTTCACCAAGGACAAACCAAAAGCAGATCCCCCTTAACTCACATTTTTTATTTTATGTACTCAACAGGTTTACTTCCTGTTGCGACCTCCTGCATTCCCGCTTCTCTCATTCAGACTTTAAGGTTCACAACATTGCTGGCATTAAGATCAGTAGAGTTATCCGCATCCACAACAGTGCTTTAAGACTGCGCTTTGAGGACAAACTTCACACCCTTCTAGCAAGCGAAGAGTCTATTTCTTCACTGTAAGTTAATTTAAACTGTCGTGAAATGTGATGATAATCGCATTTTTTTCCCAATAATGAACAGAATTTGTATCTAATTTAAACATTTCAAGCAGGAACTACAGACGTCGGCTGGAGTACTTGTTCTACATAGCTGACCCTGAAAAAAATAGCGAGAGGGAAGAAATTCTGTGCATTCTAGAGGAAGGTTTCAAAACAACCGAACAAAATAAGGTGTGTTTACTTCTGTGCACCTTCTCACAACACTCCATCCCATCACCCAGCATTTATTCCTCTGAGCATTGAGAAAGTATTTCAAGCAAGCAAATCATGGATTAGTAACTTCACTACGTATACATAACAAAATGAAGAGCAGTTGCAAAAACGAATTTCTATAGGTACAGAAATAACTACACACGAGTGCTATGAAACAGAACAGGATCTATAATTTCTTGTTATCACATAAACTCCAAATTATGCTGACTTTTACCATATTGACTTTGAACTAGGCATTGGAAAGAGAGGGTGCTATACCGTTATCCAACAGCCTGAGTGTGGCTGAACAGCCCAGAATTGAACACGCACTGCGCCAGGCCAGCCAAGACGAGTCCAAGCACAGCACGGACACAATCCACTTCAGGCACGGTGAGTTAGTTTTGCTCATAGTTTTATATTCCCCTCAGCTGTGGCTGTTGTATTTTTGTTTTTCTGAAATGCTACTATTTTTTTGCCTGTAGGTCAGATTATTGTTTCCAAAGTTTTTGTGGGCCACAGCGTGCCTATCCGAGAGGGAGACCCGCTGGACAGAAGCACATATCCCAAAGCATACTCAGTTTATCGCAATGTGGACACTAAGCACAGAACTGCACCAAGTGAAGGTATGCTGTATTACAAACAAAAACAAAACAATTTCAGTCAATATTTCTGAAATGTGTTTACATCTGTGTTTTTCATTCAGAGAGACCCGACTCCACCAACACACACACAGGTCCTGAGTGCAGTCCCAGACGAAGACAGTGGTTTGTGTTTGACCATGAGCTTGTCCTGCCTGAGTACATCATTTATTTTGAATACATCACCACCGGGGTAATTCATTCATTGGTTTTGTTATTGTTTGATATGACATGAGTCATTAATAATTCTTGGACCAGTTCTGTTCTGCATCTATATCTTCCTTTTGGTTACGTCCTGTTCAAAGGGAATACATATGACACATCTATGATATAAATATAGATAAATCGTCTTTTCTGCATAACTCTTCAGTGCAGTCTCATGTGATCAAACTTCAGTTGCATGGCTTTAAACCAATACTCACAGATGATAACACATAATTCTCTTCCCTAGTTGCATAGTTGTTTTACACATTTTAATTATATTTTAGTACCCATTACAAGTCAATAATTGTGTACCTACCAGGCAGTTCATATGCCTTGTGATATGTTGTTACTAGGATCAAGAACAACCACACAGCAAAGGCATTGATGAGACTCCGTCCAACGACATCATCCTAGACAGGGAAGTCCTCAACATGGAACCTGTGCTGAAACCGCAGCCCAGGTTGTTGAGCTTGGATGACAAAATTCTGCTTAATGTGGCCAGAGCCAATGTCCTCAGTCAAATCACTGTAAGTTTTCTGGCTTTTGAAATGACAACTTGAGTTTTGAAGCCATGTCTTGTACTCATGATAATCTTCAATGTATTGAACCTCCAGGTGCTAAACCTTCATGGCAACAGTCTTAGGAAACTAAAGGAGATTTCCCGCCTCACAGCTCTGCGGCATCTTACCATCAGCTTCAATGAGTTCACACACTTGGATGACATTTCTCACATGGTAGGGGGAGACAGGGGATGGCAATAGGAAATGTTATTATTAAGGTTAAACGAATCATTGTCAAAAGTCATGAGAGTCATAAGAGAGCAGCATTTTCATAGTAACCTCTATACAGGGAGACTGTGTTTTGGAATATGGCATAAAGTGGAAACATTTAACATCTACTGTCTCTGTTACCTAAAACACAGCCCAACCTTAAGTTTTTGGATGCTAGCTACAATCGCCTAGTGACCCTAGAAGGGCTGAGGAGGTTGGGACAGCTCCAACAGCTCGACCTGCGCTGGAACAAGCTGACCAAGGCCAGAGAGGATACAGCTGTGCTGAGAAAACACACGCCTGCTCTGCTGAAGCTTGACACCCGATTTAACCCCTGGATCGGGGTGCGTGCTGTTATCAAATAAAATCTCAAATATATATTGTACAAGGAACAATGAGGAGGTATACAGTGAAGCTGTTTTCCTTTTTTCAGTCCAAAACAGTCCGAATGACCACACTGGGCTGTCTAACAACCCTCACACACCTGGACAATATGATGGTAGCAGAGCAGGAGGCTGCTTATGCTGTTCTGATGGCAGCCGGATCCAAAATTAACCAGGTTAAGATCTTACAGATATCGCTGGTTGCTGTTTTTTTTGTAAATTTGAATATTGATTGTGTCAAAATAAGTATTAACATGCTCCAATGAAGAATACATACAGTTTGTGAACATCTACCTGTATATTTCTTGATGCACTGTAATTCAATCAGACCTGTTGACATTCTGCACAGGCATCTCTTCTGGCTCACTCGAGTACCAACAGGGACCGACCCCGCAGTCTCAGCCTGCTGTCAACAGCCCAGCTCTTATGTCCTCTCAGTCCTGCACCCCGGGGCCTCACCCGAGAGCTGGAGCTTGACTGGACTGCAAAGGTGAGCTTCAGACTTTAGGGTTTCTCCCTAAAGGTGTGATTTTTAAAAGTGCAATTGTAAAGCTTTAGGAAAATTACCCCCTAGGAAGTTACCATGATTTAATTGTAATACACGTTTAACAAATGTAATGATTTATACATTTTTGTGTTTCGTGTTTGTGGCCCCAAATATTGGCCAGATCACTGTCCTAAACCTTGACAGCCAGAATATTTCCAAACTGATCAATCTGAATAAGCTGGTCAACCTTCGCTGGGCTTCCTTCAATGATAATGACATTTCTAAAGTGGAGGGTCTTGACAGCTGCTTGAAGCTGGAGGAGCTTTCCCTCAACAACAACAACATAAGCACACTCAATGGTTAGTCACACGATCAACTTGACAATGAAGTTGGGATTACAGAGTTCAGATGTACCTAAAAACGAAGTTGCTTCTCATTTAAGTCTTATACTCTTAGCACAGCAGCCATCTTTATCTCTGTCTGTCTTTGCCCTCTGTTTTTTTCAGGACTATCAAAGCTGCAGCTCCTAAATAAACTGAGTCTGGATGGGAATCAGCTGTCTAGTCTGGATGCCTCAGCCTTAGATCGGCTGCCTAACCTCTCCTTTATGTCTGTGGAGAACAACTGTATCAGTTCTGTGCATGGCATCCAGAGAGTTCGCTCCCTTCTTGAGCTCTACATCGGCAACAACCAAATCTCTACGTCCCGTGACATCTACTATCTGAAGGCAAGTGGGAGAGAAAGAAGGACAGTAGGTTTCAGATTGTCCCTTTGTTTTCCATGCCCGCTGTCTGAGCTCATATGCTGCTCTTTCTTTTTAGAGATTGACAAACCTCATCATTCTGGATCTTTATGGGAATCCTTTCGTGGAGAAACTGGAAAACTATCGGATTTATGTTGTTTTCCATCTACCCTCCCTAAAAGCTCTGGATGGCATTGCAGTGGTATATACTGGCATTGCAGTGGTATTTACCCACAACAGCAACCAGTCAAACCTTTCAGATATTGTCTCGTATTTGCTGTTGTTTTCTCTAGGAGGTGACTGAGTGTGAAAGTGCAAAGGATATGTTTGGAGGAAGACTAACCCCTGACATGGTAGCAGAGAAGCTGGGCCACTCAAACTACACAGACATCGCCTACCTTACCCTGCAGTCCTGCTCCATTAGGTAACAGCCCCGCTAAACAGACATATAAACACAAAACACGTGCATAAATGAGCAGGATTATAGTGATTTACATAGTTTGAAAGACGAGGCTAAATTAATGGGTTTGTTTCCTCCACAGGATGGTTGATCTGTCTCCAGCAGACCTGTTCTGTAGGCTGTGCAGCGTCAACTTAGACCACAACAACCTCACCTCTTTTTCTGGCCTCATTTACCTGCCCAACATCAAAGTACAAATTACACTGAATGTCAAAAAAACAACAGGCTGGCTTGAAATGCACCTGAGCCATGAACAAATACATTATTTCCAGTATCTTCTTTATAGGCTCTGTGTCTGAACTACAACCACATTGAGTCCATCCTGCCCAGACGGAAGGCTCCTCTCACAAACAGGCAGATTTTGTTCAGCAAAGTTCACTCCAGTGGTTACGGCCAACAGAGCCCATCTAAAGGCAAAGGGTAACACCGTTCTTATTTCACAACTTCATGTATTTTTACATTTTACAATGTTGCCAAGTGTGAAAAATGTGTAAAGTGTAACCATTAGGGGGCAGCACTGACCACCCAGTGGATGAACTGTCTCAGTTGTTGCCTATAAACCATCCTAAAAATCTAGTTTCAAGATGTTTTGATTTGATTCCAAATAAGTTCACATTTATTTCCTAAAACAAATTAAATATTAATGTAAAAAATATATTAAGTATCAGTATACTGTGGGATTAATTATATGCTCTTCCAACCACATCCTTTTATCGAAACCAGTACATAAGCAGTGCTGTGACTGGACATGGTTTTGTTTGCCCTGGCTGTGATTGCCTTTAGGTGGTCTGCGTGTGTGAGGTCTGACCAGTTAAATTAGGCAGCAGAAGGAGAAAGAGATGTTCATTTAACCACAGAGGTTTCAAGCTGTCATTCTGTGACTTTGTTTAAGGGAAACTGGGCCCCTGGAGCCACTGATGGGCAGCCTGGAGGTGCTGCATTTGAGTCACAATGGCATCTCCAATATGGCCAATCTGCAGCTCAGCAGGCTCACCAATCTTAAAGCACTCTTCCTTCAAGGTATGTATGGTTGGCGTCCCACCCCTCCCTCACACAGCCTGTTAAAAGTGCAGTGCATAAAGCCTGTGAAAAGGCAAACACTGAGAGCAAAGTCTCCCATAGACTGTAGGCCAGGTGGGAGATGAGACCTGAAGAAAAGAATGACTGACTATCTTTCAGATGTTTTTGATGGCTTTTGATTGAGCTTATCTTTGTCAGAGGGATTTATCCCACAAAGCCAACCTTATACTTGTCCATTCTTCATTTTTTGCTTTCAAAGCCGTCTCTGTAAATTTCAGTGCTTTTAACACCTAACAAATGTTTAAACGCTGCATTTGATATCGTTTAGGGTGTTTAATTCACTCTTTTTTTGTACATGGAAATATCAGACTATTGTTTGAAATATCTTTTTATTGTTTTGATGAGGTTTCTCTTGCGATAGGTAATGAGATCAGCCAGGTGGAAGGATTGGAGGGGCTTCGCCAGCTCAGAGAGCTTGTGTTAGACAGGAATCGGATCAAAGCTCTGGCTGATAACTCTTTCATAGCCCAGAACGTCCTGCTAGATCTGCACCTTGCAGAGAACCGGATCCGGGAGCTCAACCATCTCGATCCTTTGATTGAGCTCCGCAAGCTCTTCCTTGGCATGAACAAACTGCAGGTATTCTCCTTCAGCAGCCGTGGTCTCCTCAAATGCTGGATTTTCTTCATGTTTATATTTTAATTTTTAATAAAACTGCATATTCAGATTTCCTTTAAAACTGCCATAATGACTCACACCACAGTGATTTCCTGAGGTGACCACCAAGGTCACGGTAAGCTTTTGTGCAGTTTTTGATTTACCACCAGATTTTACTGATTGGTTCATATGAAAATGTGTCAGATGTTTTAGAATGTATTTTATGCAGTGTGCAACAGTATTACTTTTCCCTGCATTTGTAAGGACATGAAGTATAGTAATCATGAGTCATTACCACACTGTGGCATGCGAGGGGTAGCATTAAGGAGAATCAAGTTTGATTGAAGGTCAGGTCCGTGTGTATGAAGAAAGAGGGGAACAATCAGGACAACATGTAATCAGCTTCTCAGTCTGCATCTGCTTCTCACCCGGGGCGAGTGATTTGCACTTTTGTTGCTAGTTCCTTCTTCCCTTCTCATCCTTAATGTTTCCATGCATTCAATTAAGATATAAAATACAGCAATCATCCCAGCCCTACAGTTCTCACAGTGGGGGCGTCTTTGAATTACAGCCAAATGCAACCATAAACCTGGGAATGAGAAAAAACACCCCCATGCCCTGTTGCGTGCCCAAACTCTCTCATGAGATTAATGAGAGCTCACACGTGTAATCTCTCCCATCAGCTGCTTCCATCCTCCCTAACCCAAAATTATGAAAGGTCCAGCTCTGATACAAATCTCTCCATTTTCAACACACAGGAGGCTACAACCAGTAGGAAAGAAGAGCAAAATGAGTGGGTAGTGAATGAAAGATTGTTAAATCAAATCTTTGTTTCTTTACTTTTTGTAGGACATCACAGAGCTTGACAAACTAGAAGTTCTTCCTTCGCTGACTGAGCTCTCTGTTATTGGCAACCCTGTAAGTGTTACAAGTGCATTAAACATATTGAGGTAATGTGAAAAAGTATTTTCCAAGATTGTTTTCCTATAATGAGTTTTGCCTAGTTATGTGAATCTACTAGCTTTCAGTCACAGGGTTAGCGAATTCTTCCACTCGCTAACAAATGATCAAAAGCACGCTCACAGGCTCAATTTCTCACTTGCACAATCCAAACCACTATCCCAGTGTAACTCTGGTAACAAATTAAGCGATTACATGATGGGCCATCTGCTGTGCCTCAAACTGGCTGGCATCAGAGACAAATCCCTTGACCAAATGGCAGGGCACTATTGGCCTGGTTACATCACCCATCTGGAGCTCATGGATCAGGCCTGAACAGCCCAGGGCCTCCCTATAGTCCATTGGGCAATGCTCAGCTGTGGGCGCCTCTTTTCTGCTGGACCCCATCCCCCTTCTCTTCCCATAGGGGGGGTTAATCCTGCCAGGGGGTAGAGGCCAACAGCCACCCTGGAGACTATACCTCCTGCTGTTGACAGCATGAGATTGCTACCTCACCCATGTTCCCTAGCCAAAGTCTGTCTTGTCCTCTCCGCTGGACATCCATTGGCACGCACTCACAACTTCATCACAGCAGCAGTGTCCTATAGGAACATGAAGTTCTGTGACTGGACAGGCTGAATTTGTACCCAGGCCAGAGGGTGCCCTCACCTGGGAACTATCTGCTGCTGTCAGCTGGGTCACTGGAACAGCTGTTGGGAACATGACAACTACATCGGGACCCACATAGCATCATATTTATCCCAGATGTCTCAGGACAAGCGTCACTAATGCTCCACAATAATATTGATGAACTCTATCATTTTTCACCAGGTTGTTTCATCAAACAGGTGCTTTTTTTCTTCTTCCAGGTGGCCAGAAATTCTCTCCACAGACCAGCAATAGTACTCCATCTGTCCCAGTTGCAGGTCCTGGACGAAGTGATGATCACCCTGGAGGAGAGGACCAGGGCTGAACTCTTCAGTGCTGATCCATCAGTGAGAACTGCACACTCAGAAACAATTGCACACAGAATGTACAGTATATACTTAAATGTGCAGGGTCGTAGCTACCATTGAGGACACAAAGGTATTCGTAGTATTGCAATATACAGTATTTTTTTTTATTTTTGTTTGAATTTGATTACTTTAAGGACAAAAAATTAAATAAAAGGCTTTAGTATTTTCTTACCTATATGAACAAATAACGTGTCTGTGTTAAAAGCTCACAATGGTTCTTATTAGGTAAGATGCAGTCCAACTGAAAGAATCAAAATGTCAACAACCAAACCACAGCCACTAAAAAAGGGAAAAAGCTTGGATCAAACTCTTTCAGTCTGACTGATTTGATGTTCATGTAATGAGAGACCAAGGCAGTAATTCTCCTGCAGCTCTGAATTAAAAGCAGCCTAAGCCTGCTGGCATCATCCTGCTGATTAGATGAAATGTGCCCGGCCGATAATGCACCAGTGGATTTACCCCCTATTAGCCAGGTCAACACGACCCCCTCTGCTTGTTAGCATCATAGATGTGGAAATGACAGAGCAGAAGTCCTGGGTTTTCTCATTAAAAACACAAACTCAAACCTCCCCTATTGACTCTCATAACTGTCATCTCGGTTGACCGTCAATATATGTTGTGCCTCTGCTTTTGTTTGAATTTGAACATTGTTATTGATGAGTAGTATTTGCTATTCCCCTATAAGATGCTTATATATGTGGAACAATAAGCAATCTTCTCCAAGTGTGCAGGAGGAGTGGCCACACTGAAGTGACAGTAGTGGCCACAGGAAGGAAGAGAAAAGAGAAACTGTTTGAGTTAGGATGCAAATGTCAGTCGGCCAAAGACATTGAGTTGGAGTCTCACATTATCTGAATATCTGCTTATGTTTTAAAAATATAATCCTGTTCTGGAATATTACGTCTATCTTCCTCATGGTCCTTATTTAATATTTCTCTTAAAGACATGCTGCCAATGCCCTGGAGCTTCTCTTCCTACCACTGTCATAAACCTACCTGGACTGCTATCCCTCATGCCTCAAAACATCCCTCTAAGAGGAACGACTATAAGTGGAGGACTACAGAACTTTATGCATGGGCAAGATACCCTGCCAAGTAATGTGGACGAGGCCCAACCTCATTCCACAAGCAAGTGTGAGTGTGATATTTCTCATCTTGAAGATAATTTGTTTCTTGATGAATATGATTGTGTGTAACAACAAGCTGTAGAACGACACAAACTGTTAACTCTTTAAGTTATAATACAGTTAAAATGATTCACTTTATAGTATATACGTATACTGTATATACCAGATAACTGTACTGTGTATTGTATTAACCACTGGTTTGACACCCCTTATTCCACACCCTTGTATTAATTCCCAATTCAGACAAGAAGCACAGGCTCGGTAATGCTGTTCGTAGCGGCCAAGCTGACAATACATTTAGACACGTTCAAATAACACGAAGCAACCTGCCAATCACAGGTCTCCTTCATGATGGGAACAGAGTCATCATAACCTATCCCAGCCAGGAGCAAGACAGCAGGTTGGTAAATCCAAAATTCAAGAGACTTGATTATGCTTCTTTAAAATGTGAGGGATCTGTTTTAAAGACAATAGAATACACTTTGACTTTTTCCTACTTGTTATTCTGCAGATTTCCAAACAGCGGAAAACCTCCCCCCATGTAGCAGCTACAAGAGGTGGACACATGCAACAGCCATGTGGTACGATCATATGTCGTCGTATTTTAGGGCATCATATCTTGAGCGTGGTGTTATTGTAAGTGTGCCTTAATGTATATGAGCTTCTGCATACACTTATGTATGATAGTTTTTTGACCTGACAATAAATAACTTTCTGTAACCTTTTTTTTAATGTTTTTGCTGTTTACATATCAATAAATCACCTTTGGCACTCTTATGTTTAAGCTAAAGCATGTTTGGTGTTAAAGAAAATTAGGTTACTTGTAGGTTACATGTAGTGCATCCCTTTCAAATGCATTTATAATGACTGTGACCTTATTTTTTATCCACATATGTGGATCACTAACCATGGTAATCTGAGGATGAGAGGTTTTGGTTTCATTTCTGCTGCTATCCCATCCTTGGCCCCAAACAAGTGAAAAAACACCCACAGATGTAAGGGCGTGTGAGGCTGGCATGCTGCTTCCATGGGGTCAAAAGGATCCCCAACAAGTGGATAATCCAGCTTTAGCACACCTCTCTGTGGACAATAATCTGCAGTCACTCAGATAAAGATGTAATCTTGAATGAGGTCCAAACGGATTTCAGAGATTGTCAGTTTCATCATGTTAGCCTCTTTTCGAAAACCCCTCCGCAGTTTTGACTAATAGGCAAATCTCGTGTGTTGTAACTGGAAATGAACCCACTCTATTTGATATTGATGTTAGTTCTGCTGAACATGAGATTATAATCCTTCCTGTCTTCCTGACAGTTGAGCCTGGAATCCTGTAGTTAACAAAAACACCAGTCTGAGCCTTAAATGACGATACAGCCCATAGTATGTGGTCTGAAATGTGGTTCCTTCTGGGACCATTAAACTAATCATTGCATGATGAAAACCCCCATGTGAAATTATTTAGATAGGACATCTGTTTTCATCCAGCCACTGTGCAGACTATTATCTTTCTCACCAACCTCTTTTAGAGTTAAATTATTGTTTACTTTATCACAATACATACTCCTTAAAAAAGAAACACCATATTTGCCAAATACTGGAAACAAAAGCAGAGAGTTTTACCAAGAACACCCTTTCCAAAGGACTTCTCTTTGAATCCATTTGAGCCAGGAGTAAAAACAGACGATGCTTGGTTTACAGTGCATTTGCAATATGTTAGATGTATAAAGTATTCCATTTGTGCATGAAAAGAAAATATTTAAAAGACAGTATAAAATAGTGATAATGACATACAACAAATTTAATCAAAAAAAAGTAAGAAACAAAAAACAACAGCAGAAAAAACCCCAGAACAAACACATGCATATTAATATACACATACAGTGAGAACACCCCCTCCCCCTATCCCAATCTCTCTTGCAGAAGCAGCAACATTTTCTGTCATATTTCTAATTTCAACCTGAACTCTGTGGCGGTAATGTGACCACTAGGTGTCCTTAGAGCTCCATTAGCTCTCCCTGTACGACACCGCTAATCAGTCCTCGATGTATTTACCACTTGCCCTCTAGATGGTAATTTATCAGTTGAAGGCGGTTATGTGCGTATGTTTTAGTTTTGTGTTCCCTGCCTGTGTGGCCTTTGGCAACAGTGAAAAGCTCTCCCCAAACAAGCTCCTCTAATGCATGTACTTAACTTCACTTAATTTGTGTTAATTCCCAGCATTAAGCGGGGCTAATGACTGTGCAAGTGAGTGCACTGTCATTACCTTGCTCTGCCTGACAACAAATGGCAGCTGATGGACTCACATATAAAAAAAACCCTCTAATGCACAGATTTGGGAGATTTGGGAGATGCACAGATTTGGGAGATTTGCAAAGGATAATTGCACACTTTATATTTATGTGTACAGTATGTGCAGTATGGATATGTTAGAAATATCACTGTTTTAATGCAATTGTATGTCTATGTGTAAGTTTATAGTGAGCATACCACTTCATAGTATGCTTCACTTTGCATATCTGTCAGTATTTTTAACATTAATATGACATTAGCATAAAGATTGTGAATAATTCATCGGTCCAGAGTGAATTCAGATGCACTGCTCTCTCTGTCTATCTCTCTCCCTCTCTTCGCTCCTCCATGTGAGTAGACCACATGGTTCCTGGCTGGTTTAATGGGATGGAATGTGACAGGTTATCTTTTCATCTGCCTGATATGGAGCCTGGCTCGGGCAGGAGGGAACAAGGGGGAGAAAGAGAGAGGGTGGAGAGGGGAAAGTGACTTGGTCTCTACAGTTGTGGCCGGGATTCATAATTAGACATGTTTGTGCTTGTTTTGAATCAGTTATAGATGATGCTCTCCCCCCGCCCTCCACACACACACATGTCCACATAGAAAAACACATGCTCTGTATGGGGCTATTACTTCTGGTCCACTAATTCCCTACATTTGCTGTGTCTGTGAATTCAGAGCACCATTAGTCCAAGACTCTGTGAATAATTGCTGAATGGACCGTGTTTTCACTGCTATCCAGGTTCCAGTGTTGGTTGATGTTGTGGGTCAAGTGAGAGGGATGAGGACATTGATTGATGTTTGATGCTGAAGATAATGCTGCATCTTGTGCAATGCTTATCAAAGCATTATGCGCCGTACATATAATGGATGAACAGCATTCACTCAACAACTCCACATGCATTACACATTTATCAGCTTGTATTAACGTTAGAAGGGCTTCGGTAGAGGTTACAATTACATCAACATCGTCACTTGACTTGGAATTGCTGTTCAAAAAATAAAATGTTTTCTCCACATTTGGCTGCTGATGGCAAGCAAATTCAGATAATCAAAATATAGATTATTTTGTTTTCAAAAGGTGCATATTATGTCCCAGAGTTCATTTTTCATCCTCACAAATACATACTCTATTCAAAAACAATCTTGCCATATTGCTTCTCTTGAAATCTGTCATTGAGTTATTGTTGTCGCTTGTCATTTTCCTGTAATTTGTTTTCTGTGAGGCTCCCTGGAATAAAGAGTGAATGGAGAGAGAGGAAATACAGATAAAAGAATGCAGTGAGAGTGACAATTATTATGAAAAGGAAAATGTTCTTATTTTGTGCAGATATTTTGGATGGCAGCATTAAATCTCAACTGGTTTTCATTTTTGGACTTGCCTGCGATTTATCACATTATTGAACTTGTGTATCATTTATCACATTATTTCAATCACACAGAGCGTGTTGCTCGGCTAAAATGGCCAAAACAAGGTAACCAAACAACCGACAAATATCCAATTTCCTTGTAAATTTAACACAAATCAATTTTCAGACCACCGTCGGATGATCTGCTTTTTACAGATTGTAGCCAATTTGGTATCAGTCTTTTTTATTATTTCATAATGTTTGCATTTGCATCCAACTCTTAAGTCTTAATTCAAGTTGATATTCTTCATCAGGCAGCTATAACAAAAATGGAGTAATGATTTTAAATAAGTGGTGCTATGGGAGGATTACAATGTGCAATACATGTTGTTGTGACCGACAGGCTTTTCTGTTGTTATAGTTTATTGTGTCCTACACAGAGAAGAAATTGCTTTTTCAAGATGAGGAGACAAAACGTCCTGCTCACCCTTATCCCAGTCCCAGTGAAGAATAACAACAACAATTTAATCTCCTTGGCTCCAGATTATTATCTTTCTTTGTGTTGATATTTTGGCTTTTTGTTGATCACTTCATGATCCTCCTTTTTGCCCTCCTTCTCTCTAAATTTAAAACATTTTGGAGAGGCAGACACTTGACCACAAACACTTTCATTATATTGAAATAATAAAAAATACTTGTAGGATTTGCTCTTTTTGTATTAAGAACATGATAACAAGGATTTAGAATGTAATATTAATATTTCTAATCCTATGTCAGATTTTGGGGTAAACTAAGCGCATTAGAATCAGGATTTAAAGACACAAGAGAGAGGTTAAGAATATATTTAGGAGATGGAGGATAAACAAACCCTTAATGCGTAATTTAATTTAATTTAATTATTATTGCAAAGAGGGATGGTCTTTTCATTGTTCAGTGGGAAGCAAGTTGGATCCTTTGTTATTTATTGAGGAGGGTATCTGCATTTTTTAGTTGACTCATTCCTGTAGTTTTGTCAATTTCTAATATAGATTGATACAGTTGAAAGTTATTCCCACTCACACAAAAACTGACAATCACAGTCTAATGTACCCTGATAACATTGAGGCTGATAGAACTGTCTTATACCTATGTGATATTGACAGTCTTTGACTTGATGTCACCTGTCAAACAGCAACCGCGACAGCTTTGTGCCAAAGTTTTTGTCCGTTTTTTATACACCGCGCACCGTGCACAAGTGATCACTCGTGGATTAACTGCACAGGTACGCTGCCCGTTTTAATCGCAGCATCCCATCTGAATGTTATAATCCAGTGTGTTACGAATGCTGTTGGTATATTGGTAAACTCATCTGGATGGTGATCTGGTTGGCAATTTTGTGCAACGGAGCGCGCATACCACTCTGTGCATTGTGTGTGTTCTGTGTTTTACTGAACACCCAACACGCAACTGCTGTTAATGAGTTAATGTTTAAAATACAGAGAAAAACTAAATGTGCAAAACATACTCATATACAGACGTCAGTGTCAGGTGCGTGCGCATTTAGATACAAATAGGGGCTAGTACTGACACATCCTCATTTTGCAGATCAGCAACACTGACCCATAATCATTAGTGATTCATTTTAATGTGCTGATGGCTTTTCCTTACCTTAACCTTCATAACTATTGTTCTCTTTGTTATGATGATGTGTGCAGAGAAGGGGGCGGGGTTGGGTGATGTATGGGCGGGGCGTAAGAGTTTCAACCAATCAAGGGACGCGCTCTCTCCTACTCTCCACTCCTATTGGTTACAATCTGTCTGTGTATTGTGCCGATGTTGCTTGGCATTCAAGCGATTAGCTCGCTGCTAATGTAAATGTTGGCGATTTCCGGCTATTTCCCCATAATTCTACCTATATCGTCAAATATTACACAAAGCTTGGCTGCAGCTGTTTTTTCTGCTCTTAACGGTGAGTTTGTCTCAAACCAGTGTCAGCCCAGGTTGCCAACCTGCTGTTATTTACCTGTTAATGCTAGCAAGCTAACGGTTTGTCAAGCTGAAAAGACTTGCTGGCATCGCTAGCAAACAACAACAACAACAACAACAACAACATATCTAGCTAACGTAGAAATATTAGAACAGTCTCAGGGAGGTGCAGAAACTAATTTACTGTGAGCTATTTACCTGGTTTGGTTAAATGACTCTAAATGTCCCGGGTACTAGCTTGAACAGGTTAGCCCACGTTAGCGCATCCATGGCTACTGCTTATGTGGGATGTTTTCATGGCAACTCAGCAGCTGTTGCTCTGGCGTTTGTGTGCGTTTGCTATTAAAACATCCACTTTTATTGGAGACTCATAATAATATCAGATGCTAACGACAACATTCAACATAAGTTGACTCACTGAGAGAATCGAAGTCAAAAGTTGTATTATTTACTACTTATTTAACTTCAGTTTGTGTAACGTTACTACATGTGAGGCACAGACTAGGGTCCTCTTGTATGACAATGTCAATGATATATTGTATTGGGGCATCTCTGGTTTGTTTGATTTAAAGATTATGTCTCCATTGCCTGCTAACTGAAGATGTGCTTTCATTACAGACAGCTTCCTTTTGCATGGGACGATGAATGGACCCCCTACTTCAGCGGTGTGGAGATGACCTGCCACCCCTTTGGGAATGGTCAGAATGGGGCCAGATGTGCCCCTTCTTAATGAGTACAAGCAGGAGTTCTTCTGGAAGCGCTTCCCCCAGACGGTGTTGGGGGGTCCACGCTTCAAGTTGGGCTACTGTGCCCCACCATATGTCTATGTCAATCAGGTAGTCTTGTTCTTGACACCATGGCTTTTTGGGGGTATTGGTACGCTGCTCTGCCAGCTGCAGCTGCTCCAGGAGCTCCACGCCACAGTGCTCTCTGGTATGCTTATGTTCGGGGCTGCAGCGGGTGTCCAGGCCCTGGCACTGTATGCTGCTCAGAGGAGTGGCACCGTGGAGAGACTAGGTGCCCCCAACATCCTGGTTGATGAAGAGGATGTGGAATTCACCCACTGTGTCAGCCCAGAGACGGTTCAATTTATTGCCCCGGGAAAGCGTTTTGGACTGAATGTGGTGCTGCATACAATGCTAGCTGGGGTGCTCTGTGGCTTTGGGACATGGTACGTGTTCCTTGGCAGACTGACGGCTCTTTATGGCAGCATTGGCATATCCCTTGTCGTCTTTGTCATGAGTTGGGTGACACTGTGTATAGCTGAGTATTCCCTCATTGTAAATACGGCCACAGAGACGGCAACTTTCCAGGCACAGGACACTTATGAGATCACCCCACTCACACGGCCCCTCTACATTTTTATTTTCATTGCTGTGGACATGGCTGATAGGTGAGCAACAGCAACACAGTTATCTGATTAATTGAGTTGTCCTCTTATAGAATGCATTTTTAAAATGTTTGCTGCCATACTTCATCTCAATGCCTTGCTCTGATTTAGGTTCTCAGGCCCGGTCCCTGAGCTCCAACTGGCAAGCCAGATTCTGCATGTGCT